TGCGCTGGCTGGGGCAGAGGAGGTGCTGCTGCATCTTTGAGAGAAGCAGCAGCAGCAGCAGCAGCAGCAGCAGATGCTGCTGCTGCTGCATCGACAGACGTAGCTAGAGAATGTAAACCCTGCAGCTTCTCCTGCAGCGTCTGCTGCTGCGACGTCACCGCAGAGATATCCTCTAAAACAGAAACCACCTGAAACAAACAAAACAAAAATAAACTTTTTGCCGAAAACATGAATATATATATATATATATATAGATAGATATACTATATACATATATATATATATATATATATATATATATATATATATATATATATATATATATATATATATATACATATAGTCTGTAACATGACTGAGGGTTTCCAGTTTAGGATTTAGAGGGTTCACAAACCAGGGTGTTTAGGGTTTAGGGTTTAGGGTTTATATGTTTATTTACATCTGCGTATGTGTGTTTTGCTTGAGTGAGGGAGAGATGAATGGGGGCGACAGAGACAGCGAGGTGGCTGCAGGGAGAAATGTTTTGGTGTAGAGACAGCAGAATTTTTTCGGGTGTGAATTCTAGCAGTTCATCTTCTAGTATACCTCTCTCTTGCTCCCATCTATGCTGCTGCCGCTGCTGCTGCTGCTGCTGCTCCTGCTGCTGCTCCTGCTCGTCCATGCAGCAACGCACCACAGATAAACGCGCAGACAACTCACACAAAGGCGATGGGTCCGCAGCAAGCGACAGCAGACGGTCGAGTCTCGATGCCAGCTCTGCAGCAGCAGCAGCAACACAAGCAGCAGCAGCAGCAGCAGCAGAGACATAAGCAGCAGCAGCAGCAAACGCAGCAGCAGCTACAGCAAACGCTGCTTGCAGCTAGAAGCAGTGGAAGGAAAGAAGCCGTTCGGGGGCTCGGGGGTATCCGGCATGCTTGGCTAGCTGCTTGGCTAGCTGCTTGGCTAGCTGCCTGGCTAGCTGCTTGGCTAGCTGCTTGGCTAGCTGCCTGGCTAGCTGCTGGGCTAGCTGCCCGCACAAATGCTTCACAAGCTACCTCGCTAGCTACCTGGATAGCTACCTGGATAGCTACCTGGCTAGCTACCTGTCTAGCTAGCTAGCTAGCTGGCTAGCTGAGGCCCAGTCCCGGCTAGCAAGCTGCTGCTCACCGACGAGTGTTGGGGCGTCAGGGTCTGCCTCCCACTGAGATACTAGCTGCTGCAATTCAGGATCTGCTGCGGTTGCTGCTGCCTTTCCTGCTGCTGCTGCTGCTGCTGCTGCTGCAGGCACACAGAGTTGCTCAAGCCCTGAAGCAAACACAAAAACGCAGGACGTTGACAGTGAAACACTCAGCGCGCTGCTGCTGCTAATGCTGCTGCTGCTGCTTCTGGTGC